AATGCACAATTCACAAGTCTGCCAACCGCCATAAAATCCCATAAGAAGAACAAGAAGAAGAAACCCGAAGAAGGAGCCGAATTGTGGCTGTTCCATACTGGTTTAATTGAATGAGGCTAAAGAGCAGCTAAAGTTTGTGTTTGCTCGTTAAAATATTCTAAAGAAATTCGTCCAATATTCAGCTAGAGCGTCTGAGACTGAGCGGTAAGAACAACATGGCTGCATCCAGCCGCTCCAGGCTCGCAGCCTGCGGCTTTATAAGGCACTTCACTGGGCATGCTAAGCTAGCTTCAGATAACCATGCTAACGGCTAACACGTTCGCGCGGAGACCTAAATAATGATCAAAGGATCGCTGGCATTGGGGTTCATGCTGGTTGTGTTCCGCTGATGAAGTCAATGACTTTGTTTTGTTGGTTATTTTGTATTAAAAGTGATTTTTTCGGATCGGGTTTGGGGAGTTTAGCTAGCGTTTGGAGCTAGCCTTGCTAGCGCTGCTCCGCTCGGCAGGGAAGCTGAATGAGCTGCTGGTGTTTAGCGCTTCATTCCAGCGGCTGTTTAACGGCTTCTGCAGGTCCTCCTCGTGGGTTTACACCTGGGTTACACCTGGCTTCCGGTGCTCCTTTATTCAGATGCTAACACCGAGCAGGTAGCCCCCCCCCCCCTCCATGCTTAGAGATCCCCTCATGGTAATTAGTGTTTACCCTTCATTAGCGATGAATTACCAACACATTCAAACCTTTAACAGCTAATAATAATGCAGCTATTCTGCTGAGATTAACCTTTTATATTTAATTAACGGGTTTGATAGAGTTAAGTTTATTATTATTGTTATAAAAACACCTGGAAGCATTGGAAACATTCATTTTAAGATATTTAAATGAATATAAAAGTGTTTATAAAGGGAGTTTGATGTCTGATGGTTTACTTTTTGTTACCTGAGATCAATTCTTAGTTGTTTTTTTTTTGTTAGATTTAATAATGTTAATTTTAAGAAAAAACAAACATATTTTGTATCATCGCTGATCATCTGAGGGAACCACAGACTATCCAGAGTTTTAAAAAAGGATTACAAAAGTTTATTTTTAGCAGAACTTACCTTGTATAATTAATCAATAGGAGGTTTGATGGTTTAAAGTTTATTGTAATTATTATAAAGACGCTTAAAAGTGTTGGAAACATTAATTTTATGCTCATGCAATGAAGATAAAAGTGTGTGTAAAGGGAATTTGTTTACTTTTTGCTCCCTGGTATCAATTATTATTATTATTATTTGTCGGATTTAATGATGTAAACTGTGACAGCAAACATATTTTGGATCATCGCTGATCATCTGAGGGAACCACAGACTACCTAGAGTTTTAAAAAAGGATTACAAAAGTTTATTTTTAGCAGAACTCACGACTGTTAACCTTGTATAATTAATCAATAGGAGGTTTAATGGTTTAAAGTTTATTATTATTATGATAAAAATGCCTAAAAGCTTTGGAAACGATCATTTTAAGATCTTTAAATGAAGATAAAAGTGTTTATAAAGGGAGTTTAATGTCTGATTGTTTACTTTTTGTTACCTGAGATGAATTCTTAGTTTTGTTTTTGTTTTTTTGTTAGATTTAATAATGTAAACTGACAAACAACAAAAAACTAATAAAAACCAAGC